CAAGTGCCATGTCAGCCTCAACCTTGGTACTTTGGGGTACTTGGTGAAAATACAACCTCCTTTGGTGAAGCTTGGGAGTCCATCACCAGCTCTGGAAAAGTGCAGAAGCCTCTGGATTTCTACATGTAATTTTCTGCATTTAATAACTAAATAGTAATAATAATAATTATTATGATAATTGACTGAATGGAATGCAGTGAGCAGGGCAAGATTGTCCATAATTTTGAGCTAGAGTGAATTTCTGCTTTGAATGTGGTGGACCAGGTAACCCCTGGATTAATTTCTGGCCCCGCAGTGCTATGGTTAGAAGGTTCTATTTCAGTGCATGGCAGAGTTTTAAATAGTATCACTGAAATGCCCACATGGGAGAAGAGTACTACTATATGTATTCTCTCTTTAACACATACTCATTTCATTTAACTAATACTTTTTAAATAAGGGCAGTATCAGGACCTGTCTTGGATGAGGGAATTGAAGCCCACAGCGAGCAAGATCTGAAGAGGTGCTCACTCGCGGTCATGCAGATGGAGGCTCAGCACTCACACAGCCGGGCAGTGAACGCCTGTGAAAATTTTGTACCCTAGAGGCCTCACTTCCATCGCCCTAGTCCCAGCCCTGGGTAGTGTGCTCGCTATAACCCAAATCAAATGGGCTCAAATAAACAAGACAAAATAAAAAGTGAAAAAGTGGCTTATGTCACTGGGAAGTCCAAAAGGTGGTTGTGACTTCAGGTATGGCTGTATCTCTGGATCTGTTTGTAGTCCCACTTTCTCCTTTCTTGGCTCTCTTCTCAGCCAGACTCTCATTTTGGAAATGAGATGGCCAAGGGCAGCTGCAGGCAACGTCTCTTTGTTAGGAGCACAGTCCTCAGTGTTTGCATCTATTGGCCCCAGGGAAGACTTTGATTGGATCTTCTAGGTCACATGCCCAACCCTATGCCAATCCCAGGGTAGTGTGTGCTGATTGGCCAACCTTGATCAGGTGTCCAGCCCTGTGGTGGGAGTGATTGGGGCCCAGGGCCACTCATGCCACCAGAATTACTCAGAGTTGGGAATATGGCAGTTCCCAAATGGCAGATTGGATGTGTTGACTGAGGTCACTTTCACCTCTGTTAGTTTATAGCTTTATGGAACATACCACAGAAAATTCTGGAATTTTGTCAAGTAATCTGGGCCTTATAGGTGTGTCCCTATACAGTTTAGTTGGGATTCTTCAATCTTCAAGTTACCATGCCATTTTGCCTTAAACAAGACTCCTTAGGTGGCAAGTGACAGAATACCTCAGTCTGAGGTAGTTTAAACAAAAAAGGGAATTTTTTAGCTTGTGCAATTAAATAGTCTAGAGGTGACACTGAAGAGATAAAAATTGCTTAATTGACCTACACCTTATCAATCCATTTTTCCCTTTAGTAATAGAACCATGCCCAAATGGAGACTACATTCTCCATTCTCCCTTGGAGCTAGATGTGGCCATGTGACAAAATATTGGTCCATGGGATGCAGGAGAAAGATGTTTGAACTCTGGATCACATTTTTATTGGGAGGCTGTTTTTTCTCCATGCTCTCTTCTCATTTCCTGCGAAGTGTCAGTCACTAGACTCAAGGATGAAGACCATGTCTGGAGGTGCCAGAGCTGACACATGAGCTTGGATCCCTGGATGACGTTATGGGACTGAGCTTCCTATCCACCCAGGACAACCTACCCGCCTGGATTGTTACATGAGAAATAAACACACTTTTATCCAACTTAAGTCCTTGCATTTTGGGGTCTAATTGTTATGACATCTTCTCATCTACTTAGTGTAACATGTTATTGGGGTGCTGGATAAGGGAGTTCTAACAGTGTCATCAGGATTTGGTTTGCTCCTCTTTATCTCTTTGTTCTACTTCTTCTGTGTGGCCTGCACTCTCAGATACACTCTCCACTGGGGTCTCATGATGTGTTCCAGCAGCTCCTGGGCTTCTTCCATCCAGACTCCATTTCAGCCTAATGGAGTGTGAGTCTTTGCACTACTGTTCAGTAAAAGCAAACCTAGTAACTCTTAGTTGGCCAGCTTAGGTCATGCGCCCACATTTGAATCAATCATAGTCTGAAGGAAGGCAATGTGCAGGGCTGCACACCTACACTGGGAGCAGGGGACAAGTACACTTGAAGTGAAAATGGTGACTGCTGTTGGAAGAAGGGAGTTGGAAGCTAAGGAATCAAACAGAAATGTATACTACAAAAAAGAAGTTCTGGGCCGGCCCGGTGGCGCACTGCTACAGTGCGCCGCTTGGGAGCGCGGCGGCGCTCCCGCCGAGGGTTCGGATCCCACATACAGACCGGTTCCCGCTCACTGGCTGAGCGAGGTGCGGGTGTGACGCCGAGGGGTGCGATCCCGTTGCCGGCCCTGGTCCGGTACGGGCGCGACACTGAGGGTTGCGATCCGTTGCCGGACACGAAAAAAAAAAGACAAAAAGGAAAAAAAAAAAAAAAAAAAGGAAAAAAAAAAAAAAAAAAAGGAAAAAAAAAAAAAAAAAAAGGAAAAAAAAAAAAAAAAAAAGGAAAAAAAAAAAAAAAAAAAGGAAAAAAAAAAAAAAAAAAAGGAAAAAAAAAAAAAAAAAAAGGAAAAAAAAAAAAAAAAAAAGGAAAAAAAAAAAAAAAAAAAGGAAAAAAAAAAAAAAAAAAAGGAAAAAAAAAAAAAAAAAAAGGAAAAAAAAAAAAAAAAAAAGGAAAAAAAAAAAAAAAAAAAGGAAAAAAAAAAAAAAAAAGAAGTTCTAAGTGTTGAAAACTGAGTTAATAACAGGAATCGAGATAATGATTTTTTTGCATCAGACATCTACAGTAAAACCAAGTTGTGACTATGTGTCTGTTTGGCAGTATACAGTTGTGCAAGTTGTATACTGTGCAACTCCAGAAGCAGAACTTAGATTTGTGCATCTCTGTGAATTGCTCTTTTTCCTTCCCGACATGGTCCTGTATTGCACAATTTGAACAAATGTGCTGTTCTGTGAATGGTATATCACAGTCTGTATATTTCGCATGTATATCAATTGGATTTCATGAAACAAACAAAACCATATACTGGATTTAATCTTGCAATTAAAAAAGATCACTTGTTTCCTCACATCAGTTTGATATTTTCTAGCTTGATTTTAGTTTTCTCACTTCTAGTTTAATTATTTATGGATGTTTTTTATACTCAAGGGATGAATTTTTCAGCTTTAGGTTTTGTTAGTAATTATTTCTGTTATTGTGGGCCATACACTTAAAGCTCTTTATACCTAATGTTTTTCTTTCTTTGTTTCTATGCTACTGTGAATTTGGTTCACAAATAATGTGTTAGATAAATGTCTTCCATGAACACCTATATTTCATGGCAACCATAAACGACATTTATTTATTTATTTATTTATTTATTTATTTAAGTTCTAACCTTTCAAAAAGAGCTCTCCAAATGATTCTCTTTTGGTGACAGTTTTAAACTTAAAACATCATTTTCCATAGGATGGCAACATGAAGACAGAGTGGATGGTTTTCTATTTAGCAAAAAGCCTTCTCTCTGCCAGAATATTTGCTTTTTGATGGTGTCAGTTTAGTCTCAGCTCTCCTACGAGACATTCTTGGGTGATTTTCTTCTTTAACTCATACCCATCAAGCCAAGGTGACCAAAAGCTAGTGTTCTCAATGAGAAAGGAGGAAAGATTCATATTATCTGAGTCAAAAGTCCTTCGGATATCATCAGGTCAAACAGTCCAGTTGACGACAAATGAATCCTCTACTCAATTGCTCTGACCAAAGCTCATCCAGCCTTGATTGTGTCACCTCCAGTGAATAAGAATTGACTAATTTCTGATAATCATTTTGCCTTCCTGGACAGGGTGATGATTAAAAAGATCTTCCTTGGAAACCAACCAGTAACTTTTCTCCCCAGTGACATCTGTCCTTCAGGAGAGGTATAGGACGGTGTTGGGAGCAGAGCTGGGCGCCTTGCATACCTCCCTTTCATCCTAGCCCTGATAGCGGCCAGCTGTGTGACCTGGGGCAAGTCCCAGGGCTTACTCTTCTGAGCTTCAGTTTCTGTAGAATGCGGATGCTAGTACCTAATTCATTACTCCGCGTTAACAAGATTAGCATAATGCCTAGCAGTCTGGTGCTCAGTAAACGTTAGCGGTTATGCTGTCAGGGGCAGGTGAGTGTAAAATTCAGTCCCTCTTAATCTTATTTTGAAGGCAATATCCCATAATGTTTTTGAGAGTGAGCTCTATTGCCAGGTTATGGAGGTTTAAATACGGGCCTGTTATTTACACAAACGGATACCTGCCCCAAAAGGGGCAGGGTAGTTTAAATGAGTTAATCTATGAGAAGGGCTTAGAACAGTGCCTAGGTAGCCATATTGATAACTACTAAGGATTTATTGAGCACCTACCATGGGCCAGGCTTTGGGGACACACATAGCAATGAGGCCAAGGCTCAGCCCCTGGGAAACTTACATTCCAGCGGGAAAGACAGGCTCAAACAAGGAAAATACGGCACATGATACACAGAGGGCTGAGGAAGGAAACCCTAAGAAACACTTAGCTTAAAACATGACAATATCCCTCTCCTCACATGCCAAGGTCAAGGCAAACCATGGCAACACCACCTCCCGGACACACACGCACAAAACATCAGCCCTTCTCAGGGAAAAGATTGGGACTGAAGGGAGAGGCGGGGTAGGCGGCGGCTGGAAAAAAGTGAAATTTCCTGTCCTCCTAAAAATAAGCCACCGGAGTGAGAAGAGAGGCAGGTTACCTCGGCGGCGGTCCGCAGCAGCGGGGGCGGGCCGGGGCGCGCTAGGGTCAGGAGGGAGCTGGCGGGGAAAGGTGGGCGGGCGGCGAGGGCAGGCGGGTGGCCGCGGCCCGGCGGGCGCTGGCACCGAGCGGCTCCTCCTCTCCGTCCCCCGCTTCCTCCCGCCTCCTCCTGGCGGGCTGGCTGTGCAGTCAGCTGACGCCGGCGCTCCTGCCTCGCCGCCCCGCGCCGCGCCGCGCTCTCTGCGCTCCCCCAAAGTGGCTGCCAGCCGGACGCCCACTTTCAGGCTTCGGGGGACACAAAGTGATGAGCGCCTTCTAAAGCCTCGCCGAGCAGCAGCCGGAGCAGCTCCGCCTCTCACTCCTTGTCTTGACCCTGCCCTCAACCCTCCCCAAAGCCACTTAGGGTCCGTGCTCTTGGGGAAGGGGGTGTCGCCGGCTGCCTGGGATGGCTTCCAATTTTAATGACATAGTGAAGCAAGGGTACGTGAGGATCCGGAGCAGACGCCTAGGGGTGAGTATCGGTCGCCTCCTTTTCTTCTGTTCGCCCGTTCGATGGTCTTTATCCTCAGCCAGCATCCCTGGAGGGTGGAAGGAGGTTCCCAGACCGCGCGCTGGCGAACCGCGCTGCGGCTTTCTCAGCCGAAAGCCGCGTCTGCCGGGGCTGTCCCTGTAAGGCCAGCGTCTAGGTATGCAATGGATCTATCTTTATCTCTCGGATGACTTGGCTTTCTGATGGTGGCCGCATGTTCGGTTTCGGTGGCCACCGGAGCCCATCTACTCGAAATAAATATTTCTCGGTAGCCATGGGAGTTAGAGCCGGGAAACCCGGGCGGGGGTGCTGAGCCTGCCGGATGCCCCCCGAGCCCCTTCTTCCCACACGCCTCCAACTTAACTTTTCCGGGGGAGGGATCGGCTGGCTGAGAAGGACACACATGCTCCGTGTGACCGAGGCCAGCGGCCCTCTGACCTCAGGGAGAGGTTTCTGCCAAACCAAAGGTCCCTTCCGACTGCCGGTCCTGGACAGTGACTCACCGCTGTCTCAGGTGTTGGCAGAGGCGGTGCGCGCTGGCCTCTGGCCAGGGCCAACTTCGGGTGCATAACCCGAATCTCATTTTTTCTTGTCTTTAAACCGGGTCGTGGATTTCTATTGCTGGAATACACATTGGAGACGCGCTAGAAGGTTATTTAGTGTGGAATATAATACCTGGCATAGATCAAGTGGTCCCTAAATATGCACTGAAAAAAAAAAAAAAAAAGAGTGAATGAATCTGAGGGCACTTGGCGACCGATATTGGCACAGGATGGCTCTTTTCTTAAAACTCCCTGTTGTTTGCCTCTTTTTCTCTTGGCTCTTTGGGGGCTGCAACAGAGAATTAGCCCATCCTTCCTTCCTTGGAGCGATTGTGAGGGAGTTCTTGAGCGAGGAATTCTTGAGGAAGGGGGAAGATACTGGGATGATTTTTTCCACGTACCTCATTTCTCTTTGCCTGTGTCAAGTGTTGTTGCTGTTTTAGTTGATTGGGTGTGTTTTGGCCAGGCACAGGGGGTGAGAAAGGGGCGGAGAAGGAAAGTTTACTTTGATGATGCCTGAAATAATAATAATGTCATAGTAATGATACGGAATGACCCTGTTGAGGGGGGGTGATACATTGAGTATCTTTCTCTACAAATATATGTCATTTGGTATCTTTGTCTTATTTGGTCTTTGGACTTTTCTTATGTGTCAGATAATTTTACTGAAAATTGGAAAGAAATTTTGAAGTAGTAAACTGAGCTAGGGAAGAAAGCCTGTTGGGGAGAAATATCCATAATTATTATAAAACCCTTGCCTGATTTGTTTTGGTCATTTCCCCCCGCCCTCCCCCATGATGGTTACCAAGTTTTAGCAATTATGCCCTGTATTATTGTGAATATATAAATATATAATTAGGGAGAAATGTAATAGAACTAACCCGTTTCTATCTGCTCTGCTAAAAGTTTCCTTGGCTTCCTCTTCTGCCATGCAAAGGATTTTGTCAGCAAGAGCAACCATTGTTGGGGTACTTAACTGAGTGACTTCTGTGAGGGCAAGAAATAATAGGAACTTTATGTTTTTGATAACCTTATAGGCCAGCAGACTTTTACAGTTTTATAGGGTGCATTAAAAAACACTATTCTGACTTAGATTTACTCCATCATGTCAATTGAGGAAATTGGTAAGTGACATCCATTCTGTGTTATGGAGCATTTCTATGGAAAGAGGACATGCATTATTAATGCACAAAATATGAATTATTTATAAGGATCAGAGTTTATGCCAAATTGTGACACATGGTGATTTATTTGAAAAACTGGTTACCGTCACCCTGCAGTTTGTGGTAATTTAGTTTTTTTTTTTTTTAAATATTATTACAGTTAATACAATGTAGTCCTATGTGTGTGCCAGCATTTATGGGCAGATATTTGAAGCAGATGGAAGGGACATATAGTTAGTTTGCGTTTGTTTTATATTTTACAGTATCTTTGTTGCCAGTGAGCAGTTTACTTTCTCAAGATTTATTTATTTTTTTGTCTTAACACTCAAATAGGTTTTAGAATATCATTATGATTATTGCTGGTGGAGAGTAAAGGTAAAAAATGTGATAAAATAAATCTAGTCTTATTTGTTAACACTGGTCTTATCACCAGTTAATTTTTAAAAATGCTCGTATGAGATAATTTACAGGGAAAACTGATTACATAGCTGTCAGAACACATGCAAACTAAAGTTTTAATGGAGGCTGCAAGTAATGGGGAAGGATGCTTCAGGGAAATAGCCTAGGGACCTTCTGTCCAAAGTAAGGAATGTTAGTGGTATTAATCTAGGCTGCATACAGCCTAGAACAACATGCAATATGTATACTCTGAGAACGTGTGTGTAAATCTCAAAGAGAGGTAGGGCACTATGTCTGGCACAAAGCAGGCACTTGGTAAGTATAGGTTGAAATATGCACTGAACTGTATAGTGAATGCATGGCCTTGCAATTCATAACCTCTGTAGGAATTAATACGACTGGTTTTATTAATGGAACCCAGACAAGCATCTGTGGATTATAACCATGTTTGTGATGGTTTATGATCATGCAAGAAAACATTTTATGGTAAGCAGCTGTTGTGCCAAGGAATGCTTCCTCGGATTTGGAAAAAGTGGAGAAGGGGACAAATTCTGCTTCTATTACTTGTTAGCCCTATGACTCTTGACTTTTCTTGGCCTCGATATTCTAGTCTGTATTATATTTAATGATGTTCTTGGGAGCATTAAATAAGATATCTGTGAAAATGCAGTGAAAGTACAAAGCATTGATTCTGACTGTATTATTTTCTTTAGCATAATTAAAGATGAGTTAGAACTGGTGGAAAGATACAGGGATTATCGATTGCCTTATCTCTTTCTATCTAGAAGCGTCCAAAGGCAATGAAAGTTCATGTTAAAATGTTTATGTAAAAGTAAAAGTTTATGCATGTATATTTAAACAATTGCTCAGTGGGACAGGAAACATTCTAAAAACATCCCCATTTAAATGGGTCAGATAAGTGGTAATCTTCAGTTGAGATCCTAAACAGTTTAAATAATTAAGCAATCAATTATGTATAGACTTACTCTTTTATTTTAAGCATCAGAAAGCTTTAATGAAATCCACCTTAGTTAACTCAAAAGTCTCAGTATCTTCACATCCGCACACCCCAGCTTAATCTCCTTTGGTTCATTGAGGTCTCAGACTGTGTCGTGGGTGCAGTATTTGTTCAGGAATGCCGATGTTACTATTTGGGGGGCTGAGGGCAGGGATGGGGAACAGCTGTCTATAATTAATAGACCAATCCAAAAAAGGCACTAAATATTTCTTCTTAGATGAGTGGTGAATCAGGAAATTTGCACATCGTTAACCCGCTGAGTATGTGACTTAGATGGCATCACATAGGAGCCCTCAATTCATTTCTTCCCTTGTAATGGAGACAATTTTCTAATCACTAATTACTATGGCTTGTCCACAATGCAAGGATTTATCAGCTTGGACTTTGTATTAGTCTGTTTATGTTGCTTATAAATAAGTATACGGATCTGGGTGATTTACAAGGAAAACAAAATTTATTGCTTACAGTTTCTGAGGCTGGGAAGTCCAAAGTTCATCTGGTGGTGGCAACGGTGACCCAGGGGTCTCACATTGCAAGATGGTGGAAGCAAAGAGAGCAGAGAGAAAGACAGACTCTCCTCTTTTTTTAAAACCCTCAGAACCACACCCCTGGCCACGATTTTTAATCCATTCCCTATAGCATGGTCTTACAATCCAATCACCTCTTCAAGGCCCCAATTTTCAATTACCGTAATAGGATTTCCCACCGTCTTAACAGTCACAGTGGGGGCTAAGTTTCTAATACATAAAACTTGGGAACACAATTCAAGCTTTAATGAGTTTTGGGTGAACATAATTCAGTCCACTACAGACTTCTCTGAATTCCACTCTGGCAAATTCTCCAGTCTACCCCACATTTCCACTTGGACGTCTGGCTGATATTTCAATCCTAATGCTTCCAAACCCTTTCATGCATCTACACCTGCTTTCTTAGAGTCACCTGCATCTCAGCCACTAGAGGTCCCAACATTTTGGTTGCCTAGGTATTCATCCATCCATCCATCCATCCATCAATCAAGTAATCAACCTTTGGTGTCACTTCTCTCTTCTCCCGTTATCTCTCACCCCCTCAACCAATCCATCAGGAGATTTTGTGGGCTCTATCTTTGAAATGTATCTAAAATCTGACTCTGTCTCACACCATCCACTGCTACCACCCTCGTCCAAGCCCCCATCATCTCTCCCTGTAATACTGCAGTAACTTCCTAATTTGTCTCTCTTTTGGTACTCTTGCTCCCTTCAGTCCATTCTCAATACAGCAGCCAAAGTGATTCTTTGGAAATGTAGGACAGATCATGTCTGGCTCCTGAAATCGCCAATGGCTTTCCATGCAAGGCAGAGCAAAAGCCTTAGAACTGGTCTTGAGGGCCTGTGCTGACTCAAAACCTTTTCTCTTGCTGTTCCCTCTGCTTGGATGCTGTTTCTCCAGGTAGCTCCTCCTGGTCACCCCCTCCCCTCCTTCAGCCTTTCCTCAAATGTCACCTTCTCAGTGAGACCTTTCAGACCATCCTAGTTTATTTCTGCCCTCCCTCTTCCCCTATATCCCTGCCCTTTTTTTCTCCCTGGTCTTATCACCACCTCACATATTAGTCTGTATATTTTACTTATTTGCTTTTTGTCATTATAACCCAAAGAGCATGTTTAGTTCAGGAGGGCTGGGATTTCTCTCTTCTTTAATCATAGCTATACCCCAGTGCCTAGAACAGTGCCCAGCACAGAGTGGGCACCTGATGAAGATTTGTTGAATGAATGAATACATGAATGAATAACTCCATCACTTTGTAGTGGTTTAAGAGCATAGACTCTGACATGAGACTGTGTTAAAATCCCAACTCGATAATTGGTTGGTATGTGACTTCTG